TCCCTAGCGCAGGCCCCTGGGGCGGCGGGGACCGCTTGCCGGGCGGCTCTGAGGGGTCGCGCCGCAGGGTCGGGCCAAGCCTCGGAGCACGGCCTTCCGGAGGAGCACCGCGACTCGGGGTGAGGGGGAGGGCGGCCCTTCTGACCCGGGCTCCAGTGACACCTCAGCTGCATCCTGGCCGGGAGTGCCTTGACAGCCTCGCCGGCTCCGGCCTCTGGCCGCAGTCAGGGTGGGCAGGACACTGGCGTGGGAAGGTTTTGCCGACTGGCCGTGGAAGGACGTGTCCTTGCATTAACGGGCAGGAGCAGAGGAATAAACCTGATCCCTTCCAGATATTTCTCCCCTGCTCTTTTACAGTGTTTTGGTGGCCTGGAGTCTCTGGTGATGTTATCCCTTTGGTACCCTCTAAAGGTGGTTTTTTTGAGGGGAGAGTATGAGTATTGAGTATTTTTATTGTGTAGAAATGCCTCTGTTGCCCAAGACTTACAGTGTACACCTCGTGGTCAATGCACGGCTTGTGAACTTCCCCCAGGTCAACTTTTTGGATGGAGAATTGTGCTTCTTTATACAGTATGGCACATCTGTGCTGGAAAGAAAAGAAACATGTGGCATATGGAGATATATATTCCTGAAGTAGCCTTATTTGATAAGGGTGTTTCATTTCTCTCTAGTTTCAGTTATCTGTGACAGGCTTTTGGAGATACTTTATTGTCTTCATACCAGTTTTTCGCTGTCAGCCTTGTTTTATTGGAATTTCCCAATCCTAAGTAGAGCTTTAGGAGTGAGTTTGATGGGGAATATAGGAAAAAGTGACCATGATAGTAGGTGAAGGAGAGTTTTTGTGAGATACGGACCAGGTGTGTTAATGACTACTTCCACAAAGCACAAAGAACGTTTGTTAACATTGAAAGCAGGATTTCATGTCTGTTAAGAAACTCAGTAAGGGTACTGACAATACCAGAAGAATATTTGAATCGTTTGATACTAGCCTATGCAATATATTGATATTTAAAGTGGTCTTGGAAAAAATCTGGATAAACACGTTGCTATCAGAAGTGTCTTGCTCTCTCTTTTTTATTTCATATGCTTCAGTTACCCTCTAGAAGCCTGGGCAGAATAATTCACAAGACTGTCTGTGACATTGGGTCACTTCCAGAGTTGAAAGCGCCAAGGTGAAAGCTACCTCATGGCTTGGAACACACATGCCGTACTGTGGAACAGCTGCAGAAGTTTTCAGCTGCTTAAGGCTTTCACGTAATTCCATCATTTTAAGGGTGCTCTGGTGCATTAAATATCAGGTTGTTCTTTTGGTTCACTGCTTCCTTCTTATTTTTGACCTCCGGTAGAGATTTAATTAATATCTTCCTTTAGGTTGCTCTTAGCTCAGCTTGTTTCCTTGCGAATCACTGTTTTCATTTCAGGCTTGATTTAGGAAGTATAGTGGAGTGGAACAATCCTAACTATTTCTGACTTCTGCCTGCCGTCCTGTGTGCTGATTTTTGACTGACAGTCTCAAGGCTGAGTGGGCTGGAATGGTCTATGATCATGCTGGTGGTCTCCGATTCGTTTAGCTGCTGACAGCTGACATCTGTGCTGAAGAGCAGTGTGTGTGAGAGGAGAAACCAGGAAGAACTCAGTTTTGTTGAGTGAAATTAATCTGTAGGTGAAGTCCGTCTGGAATTACGTGATCAATGACTTTATACTTTTTTGTTTCAGATGTGTGTAAGAATGGAGGCATTACTTTTTCATGAGGTTGGAATAATGTCTGTGATGACAGTTTTCTTCACCTGAGATCCTTTTATCTTCACAGGAGCAATGTAGCCCATATCTACTCTTACAGATTACGTGTTCAGTAGTTACAACTTGAAGTATAGTGCTGACCCTGTTTTGAAATTTGGGTGGAAGTGGAGGGAAGTTACCAGTACCACTTACAAGCTCTGTTTCTATTACGTTATATCATCGCATCCATTTTCAAATCTCCCTGACAAATCTTGCTATGAGTTCTTGGTTATCTGCTTGAAGAAAGACCTACAGACCCTGCAGGCAGACGTATTAGGAAGAAAGTGAGATTTCCTGTACTTAAGAAGCTTGCTGTTGTAGTATGATAAACTGACAGAAATGTTCCTCATTTCCTTCTCTCCCAGCTCTTTGCAAAACACTTTAAATGAGGCTCGGTAACCCTTTAGGAATGAGTGTCCACCCTGCAGGTATGTGTGCTGAAGTTTGGTAGTAGAGGGTGGGAGTTGCAGGGGATAAGATAGGTAGAATAGTAATCTCTATCAAAGTGGGCACAGACAGAATGCTTACCAAGTTTTGCAAAATGATGTGATGCACATGTAGTGTTTTTAGTGTCATTACATCTTAAAGAGAATTACGTATGCAGACAATGTATTAACTCTGTCCATGTTGTCCCAGTTGCTCTGAGCTTTTACAAGACTTAAGCTGCTTTCAAAATGGTGCTGACAGTATTTATGTTCCTCCGGTTGCCTAGGAGTCCTAGTCATAGACAGGATGTTGACACAGGAGGAAATCAGTGTTGTAATAGGCTTTGAATCTGTGAAATGGGAAATAACAAGTGAATATAGGTAGATAAGAAATAATGCTAAAGTACAGGGGATTCAGCATACTAGTAGCTTAACTGTTTCCAAATTGCTGCAAATGCCAGGTGGGAAGAGGAGTGTGTGTTTTTGAGGGTTTTGTAGGTTTAAAGGAGGATTGTATACTGGTTTTGGTGATACTGCCTTGGCAGAACGCTTTCTGTGTGTCTGGGCATCATGGAGAATGTGAACAAGTGGTTGTTTGGAAAACTCAGTAAGTGGGTGATGGCAGCTGGTACTACGAGCTGGCCATCAGATCTGCTCAGGGATGAGAGCGAAAAGGCTGCAGAAGTCTTGAAAGAGGAGACAATGGCATTTGGTGGGGTAGAGGAGAGTTCGCTGCTGGAATGATATGGTTAAGTCAGTGACTAGGAAAGGGATCCAGTCAGCAGCTTCCAAAACAGATGTCGAGTTAAAAATGTCATGTTAAAAATGTGATGCCAGAGAACAGCATGCAGTAATACTGTTTTATTCAGTAGGAGCCTTTTTTTAAAGACTAATATTAATTTTTAAAGTGGATTATGAAAAATATAGTTCTCCCTATCCCTTACAAATGTAGGAATTATAACCATGTATTTAATTTTTTGAAGGGAGAGGGGGAAGAGGAAAAACTGTGAGGAAAGAATTTGGTAGAATCTGTATACAGAATTTTAAAGTATCTACTAATTCTTGAATTAGAGAGAAAATAATCTTTGCATGTAATAGGATACCTAAAATTTGATCTGTGACTCAAAATAGTGCTTTTAAAACACTTTGGAGTTCATTTGGCACCTTAGTACTTTCATTTGGTTTGAGCAATTACTCAACTAGTTACACTGAGTGACAAAAAGCTTGGATTTTACCTTCTGACCAAATAAATTATTTCTCTAGATGGACGGCAAAACAAATGAGAGCCACTTCAGAGTTAAATCGCAGTTTTTCTTCCTTTCAATTCGTGTCCTACCTTTTATGTTCTTGTAACTTTCCAAATACTTCCAAAGTGAAAAAAGCCCTAATAATTTCATTTTGCGTTTTTCTTTTTTACATTATTGCTATTCCTTTGTAACATTAGCAACTTTAGCATTAAGCTTATACTATTTGTGGTCCAATCGTGAGCTACAGTTTTATTCTGAAGGTGAGCTTTGGTTCACTGTACTAGCACTGGAGCTGGTGGTGTTCAGCATTGCCAAGATTCAGCCCTTACTGTTTTTGTCACTGTTCCAAATTGCAGGTAATCTGCTCTTGTTGTTAAAAGCTCCTACGAGGTCAATTGGAAGGACAAGATAAACGTTGCTCGTTAGGAAAGCAAATTAAACTGAGCCTTTTCTTAGTGTAACACTGTTTGATTGAAGGCTAATGTCAATATGAACACTTAAATAACACTTTTAGTTATTTTGACAGCTCCATTATTCATGGCATAAAGTTGAGGTAGCAGGCTTTTGTTCACCCGCTGTGTTTGCGGTGGACGCTGTTTATTGTACCAACCCCAGCTGACTTGGTAAAAGGCTGCAGTTTCCTACAGCTGAGAGGCAGCAGTTACGGTTGCCCAGAGCTCCAGAGAAGTCAATGATTAGCAGACTCGTTTGTTCCCAGGGAACCGGGCCTCAGGGAGCATGTGGTACAAATGGTATCACGACCACTTCAGGAGCCGGAATGATGTTAGCAGTTACAGAAGCTGTGAGGTGAACTGCTTGATGTGGGGACGTCCATCAGCAACACTTCTGCTGCTTTCAGCGTAGCTCTACAGGCAGTCATGGAGTGGCCTCTCCTCTGAAGGAGAACTTCATGCCTAGGCCTGAGCTTTGTTGAAGAGCACTCTAGCCATAAACCTCAGTTTTCACTGTGAGGCTGAAATGCGTCTGCAGTTCGTTGGCTTTTTTTCTGATTAGGTTTGTTTTTGTTTTTATTAATAGGCTCGGATCTTCTGTCTAATAAACAAACATGAGTCATCTGAAGTTGTTGGCAGCTACACTGAAGTGGCATGGCAATAAACTACTGGAAAAGCAAGATATAGCCAGAAGGGTGTTTTTACATGGCCAACGGTATGCTTCATCAGGAACCTCAGAACCGTTCCTGAGTGGGAGTAATTCAAATTATGTGGAGGAAATGTATTATGCGTGGCTTGAAAACCCTAAAAGCGTACATAAGGTAAGTCTTAAACTTGGCTGTAAATGATACTAGGTTAACAGTGAAATCGATTTGTTTTTCTTTTTTAACTTGTTTTATAAAAAATCCAGAACAAGGTCTTGTATGAAATGAAAAATGTGAAACTAATTTCCCACATATTGATTGTTGTACGTTGTGATATTGCAGCAGAAATGTGCAGAGGAGCCACAGGCGTGCTGAGCTGAGCGGAAAGAATGAGAAGTCCAGACCAGAAATAGTGAGCTGCTCGGAAGCTTCCAGCATTCCTCTGTGGAAGTGCTGTTCAAGCAGTCTGTTAAGTAATTAGTTACATCTGGAAGAAGACCCAAGAAATTAAACAAAGTTGTATCAGGGGATACGTTATAATTAATTAGTATGTGTTGACCCTGGTACTTCTAAAGTGACTGAAGAAGATGAGTGTTCACTTCCCTTTAGGTATCTGTGGAAGTTGTAACCTTAAAACTGAATCTGAAATAATCAGAAAAGTCGTCTTAAGTATTGTGAGAAGTATTTTGTTCTGTCTCTCTCTAGGCCACAGACAGTTCTTTGCTTTTTTTTTTCCTCCACTTAAAATCTATTGCCCAAATCCTATCTTGTGGGCAAAATACATAGACTTATCTTTTAACAAGCTTTCTGCTGACAAGGAAGGCTCTCTTATTGTGATACATGGATAGCAGCTTAAGAAGCTGATGAGAAGTCTGATAAATTCTAAGACAGGCAAGTCACTTTCTAGAGACGTAATGTGAATTGTGCCCAAAATGTTTACCAAATTGAGTGTGTGTTCCTGTATTCATGAGGCACATATATCAAAATGCTACTTAGAAGTTGTTGCTCTAAGTCTGGTAGTCTGTCTAGACCGTGAGGAAGTGACTCAGGTTGTGGAAAACAATAAAAAAAAGACAACTGAAGAAAGCATTTTTGTAGCTCTTTTATTTTGGATGTTGTGTCTGAATTTAGTCTTTTTGGCAGCTGACATATTGTATTGGGTTTTCTGTGAAGGGTTTTGGTACTGGGGGAGGGCTATGTAGGTAACCCTGTAAGAAGCTACCTGAAAAGCTACCCTGGCTCCAGTGTCAGACCCACCTCTGACCAGGGCTAAGCCAATCAGTGCCTCTGCGATTCATGGATTTAAGGGGGGTGCGATGCACCCTTGGTCTCTTGCATCAGCCTTTACCAGTGCAGCCTGAGTGTGGGTGATGTGGCCCTGGCCCTGGCCCTGCCCAGCTGGGCTCGGCCGGCCCCAACTTAGGCTCAAGCCCCTCTGCAGCCCAAAAGAAAGAGCTGGGAACTCTTCAGAATCATCAGAGGGGACCTGCAGCGGAGAAGGGAGAGGTGTGTGAGGAGAGCAGCTGTGCAAAAACACCAAGGTTGGTGAAGGAAGAAAGGAGAGGGGGAAGGAGGAGGGCACGGAGCCGAGGTTCCCTGTGCAACCCATGGCAAGAGCACAGGTCAACCCGCTGGCAGTGAAAGTTCACTGGTGGGACAGATCCACATGAGCAGATGCTGCCCTTGAAGAGGCTGTGACTCCGGGCAGTGAGTGCTGGAGCAGTTTGTGTGTGAGGGAACTGCAGCTGTGGGCAGACCCACATTGGAGCTTTGTGGACTTGGGCTGAAGCAGTTTTGTGCATGAGGGAACTGCAGCTGTGGGCAGACCCACAGTTGGACTTGTGCGGAGGACTTTTCTGCTGTGGAAAGTGTGCCACGTGGAAGCAGAGGAAGGCTGGGAGGAGTCCTCCCCTACCCTTGAAGAGGAAGGAGCAGCAGAGATGCATGAGGTGAACTGACTGCAACCTCCATTCCCATCCCTCTGTGCCCCTGGGCAAAAAAGGAGGAGAGGTGCAGAAACGGGGAACAAAACCGAGCCCTGGAAGAAGGGAGGGGTGGGGGGAAGATGTTTGACTTTAAGATCTGGTTGTATCTTTTGCTGTTCTACTCTGATGTTATTGGTAACAAAATTAAAATGGCTTTGTTTTGTTTTTCTCCCTTTGATGAGTCTGTCATCGGTCTGTCAACAGTCTGTGACTGTTTTAAGTGGTGAGAAGCCCTCCCACTCCTTATTTTGTCTAGCCCCCTTTTTGTGGGCATTGTGGTGCTCAGTTGAGCACTAGGCCTAAACCACAACACATATGCAGTGACAGCCCTAAAGACTGAATGTTATTTACATAGTAGATACATCCTAGGTTTTTTTGTGTAACACCTTAACATGAAACTGAAGAGACCTTCTCTAGGGGTGGCTCTGTCTTTGATTTCTTCACTATGTAACTGGTGGTGAAATTTCCAGCCACTGTAGATCAGGGCAGCATGTTGTGTGGATGCATTGGATTAATTTCTGAGGAGTTCTCGTTATGTGTTGGTGCTATAGATAGATAACAGCCCTTTATTTTGAGGACACTGAAGGAATGAAGTCATGCAGAAGGCGCGTGTGTGGTGATGTCTTGTTTTCACTTGTTTTATTTAAGTTGCGTTGACTTGTGACAACCTTCTTTCTGGGGGCTCCCCAGTTCGAGAAGGACAAGGAACTACTGAAGAGAGGCCAGCATAGAGCTACTAAGATGGTGAGGGAACTGGAGTATTTTCATATGAGGAAAGACTGCGAGGGCTGGGTCTGTTTAGCCTGGAGAAGAGGAGGCTGAGCGGGGATCTCATTAACGGTGATGAATGTCTCGGCAGCTGCCGGAGCTGGCCAGGGTGCTGAACAGCCGGGCCCTCCCCATCAGGCCCCGCGTAAAGCCCAGCCCTGACCTCTGCGGAGCGGGAAACCTTCCCGGCGCGACTGCCCTAGCAAAGAGCAAACCCTTCTGCAGGTTTTAGACTTGCTCGATATTTTGCTGATGCTTGGAGCTGGGCAGAAATGCTAAAAATCTGGCCAAAAGGCAGCTCAAGCGCAGTTGGGCAGTGCGTCCTGATGACATGATGCAGTTTGTAGGTTGAACAAAAACCGATAAAATAGCGGAAGTGGAATGTGCAGAGGAATGTAAATGTACTGCTGGGGTAGGGTGTAGCTTTGGGAGTGGGTCCTAGGTAATTCAAGATGCATTTTAAAAATGTGTGCATTCTTTTCCAGGTTAACTATAGGTGATGTACTTACAACAGTAATGAACTGAAGTAAATTCACTGTGTGCCTAGTTTAGGAGGCTTAAAAGAATGATTGATGGACATCATGGACTACTTTTCAGCTATTCTTGCCTAAATAATTAGGTTTTCACAGCCTAGGAAAAAAAGGGGTGGAGGAGAATGTTACTGATAAATTTTGCTTTGTTTCATCAACAAAATTAATTTTTGGCTTTTTGAAAACCACTTCATTTCATCAGCTGAAAGCTGTAAATACCTACCCAAGATTTTTGTTCACAGAAATTGTTCAATTTGTGCTTTAATAAAACAGGTTAAAGATGTTGAGTGTTTAACTCACCCATTCTCCTAAAAATACAGAGAAATTCATGCTGTAGTCATATGACTGTAGGCAAGTTGTGAATTTGTCATTCTGCTATGGATTGTGGTGGAGGTGTTGGAAAATAACGTCCAGAGACGCCAGTGGCTTCCGTGGTGTTGGTTATGATATTACTGATAATTAGACTCTCTCTTCATTGTTTTATCCAGTATATCGAGCATGGTTTAGAGATCCAATCTGTGCTAAAATTTTAGACATGACAATATCTTTCCTCTTTTTCATCTTTATTTCCTATTTTTCCATGTGTATATTTTTCTTAGATATTTCCTTCTTATTACAGGGTATTTGCCTACTTCAGGTTGATGAGATGATAAAGTTTCCCGGGCTTTAAAAATCATACTCTATTTTCTTTTGTTTAGAAACTCCAATTAATCAAGGCCGCTCAAATTGTTTTCTTCTCGGAGGATTTGACTGGACATGTCTTCCCATCTATACGTATTAAAAACTGTTTGCAATATGGCTGCCGTGTTCCAGTGAATGCTTGGCCTAAGAATCTCTCCTTTCTTTGTGTACCATGGTTATATATCAAGGAATATGCTTTTATATCCGTAGGAGCTTTTATTCCTTGTGCAAATCCATTCCTCATGATTTTCTGCATTTCCTTGTCTTTTGAATTTCCTTCCTTAGAGTAGCCAAAACAACAGTCAGAATAAAATGACGTGGGCTCTGAAAGAGGCATCATTATTTCTCCATGAAGTGTGGTGTCAGGGCCATAGATCATAAGAGAGAACCTTGACAAGGCTCGGTTATTACTATCACAAGATTAATTACAAAACTACATGGTTGGATATAGTGTACATAATGCCTGCCATGTTATCCTGTATGCAGCCACTTTACTGGAGTGTGTAATCACTCCCTTGTTTTATGTACTTGGAAAAAGGGTGAGGGTTTTATTTTGTTTTGACTTCATCCTTTTCCTTCCTTTCTTCCTTTCTTTTTTTTTAGATGATGTAGTGTGTGTGTGTCTTGTAAGACTTTACTGTTCTTACTGCAGGTGACAAATATTGTGGTGTCAGTAGAAAAAACCCAGCCCATCAAGATAACTAATACGTTACTTGTTATTCCAAGTGCAACACTGTTTATTATATGAGAGTAGAATATTGCCACTGAATCACTTGCATTGTATTATATTACTGGAGAAAGTAATGGTTAAGTACAATGCAGATTTGCTGACAGGAGGAAAAAACCACAAGAATGTATCATGTATTACCAGAGTAATTTATTTTTTTACAGATGTATGTTTCTATTACAAGTCTCTTCCACCATTTTCCTAAAGAACTTTACTAACTTAGCTGAGAACCAGCAGGTTTGCTGCGAGACCAAGTCAGTCTTCTGGCTGTTCAGACACATGGCAACTGCTGTAGCCAGAGACTGACATTGATACACAGGACTTGAAGACTGTAATCTGGTATCAATCTTGAAAGACACTATAGAAATTTGTAAAGGCTTTGATGGATGTGTGTCTAGAAAAAACTAATTTTCTGTAGCCAAATGATGTATTTTCCCTCCCCTCTGATTAAATGTCAAGTCTGTGCAACAAATCAATAAGTTCAAAAATGCAATAGGAAAAAACAGTGTGGGTTCCTTCTGTCCCAGCTGGCTCCATCTTCAGATATAAACATTTTGAAGGTATTTCTTTATATTTGTGAGTTTGTGCAAAGAAAGGGTCCCATGCTTATTGTTATACTTAAACAGGTACTTTGTTGGGCAAGTCTATTTGGATTTTGCTAGCAGCTGTCTCAACAGAGCACTTACCTAAAACCATTTTCAGTTGTTTGTGGGACTGTATTGTCATAACTTTTACATCTAAATGAAAAGCATTTGGCTCAATAAAGGAATAGTTATTATCCTCATTGTATGTGTATCATGGTGTTAAAAATAGTGAGGAAGGAACCTTAACATAAGTAAAGCATATTCTTTATTAAAACTTGGAATGAATACAAATGTCAGCTTTGTTATGCATCCAAGTGTGTGCTTGGAATTTCCTGATTTAATGGAAGTTAATAACTATGTCTTGCCAAAATAATCCCTCCAGTCTAAGTAGCCTTAGTTACAACACAAAGGGATTGTATCCATTTTTCACTGCCTGGGATCTGCAAACTTTCAGACTAGGTGCTGTATAGACACGGAATAACGATACTGCTGTTAATACAGAGGAAGAAGGTGTATGAATAGAGAGAATACCAGAGGAATGCAGTTACGCTGATACGCTCTTATAGACCATTTTTAGGATGTTGTGTAAATTCAGACTGCTAATCTCAGTGTGACAAGGTGTCAAGGTAAGAAGAATGTAGGAAATGGCCATCAATGAGAGAAGGAAGGAGGAGTGAGTTCTTCATTGGGGTATCTGGAAGTGACCACCAAGCACGATCTGTATGCCTTGATTTGTCATGGCATATGGAAGTTAAGCTATGTTTAGATAAAGTCTGTGTAAGAGCAAGGTGACAGATTAAGAAATTAAGTAAGTTTATCGTATTTATAACAGTGAAGCTTTGTATTAATAAAGAAGTAAGAGAGGTGTCCTAAAGCAGTGTTTCTTGGGCAGTGGCTTCATGCTAATGATAGGGCTCCTGCCCACAGGTTCAGTGAGTCCCCCCATCCCACAGCTTGAACTTGGAAGTTTGGGTGATGTTTAGCTCTTGTACGCTGCCCCACTCACAGTCATTCTGAACACCTTAAAGCTTGTAGAAATTTCAATATGAAGACTTTTTGTTAATGAAAACAAAAATCTATAAATATTTTTCTGTCATGTTGGTATTACATGATTTTGATTCTTTTTTATATTCTGTAATGAATATATTAAGTAATGTTCTTTTTAAAATCCAATGCTTGGGCTACTTTTTGTCTTGTCTGGCACTGGTTCCTTGAAATGTGTTTGTTCCAAGCTCACAGCCAGGGTAAATGACGTGTGCTGTACAAATGAAATTTAGCTTTTACAGTTCTTCTATTCCAGTCACAAAGGTTTTGAAGTTTTGAAACAGCTTCCTTTCTTTCCTAAGTTAGCCAAACTGGGGAAAGTGTTTTCTGACCTCCCATTACCCTTTATGGAAACTGTAAGTGAAGCACAAGTATTGATTAGTCCTCTTCTTTCTTGGATATAAGTGTCTCAGATGTTTTATCCCGCTCTGCTGCTGTCTCTTGGGATCTGTGTACCTAATGCCATTCGAACCTGGGACAGTAACCACCTCATTAGAATGGAAACAGTTCGGAAAAACAGATTTGGGCATGTGTGGAAGAGGTAGCTTGTGTAAAAGTGCAGATGGAAATAAAAGGATCTTTTGTTGTTCTTGTTCAGTTTCTGAATTATGTACTCTTTTAAAGTTATGACTTGCACCTGAAACCAGGTCCATAATTTCTTTCCTGGTAAGGTAACGTAAGCTGATGAAGAAAGGACCTCAGACCTAAAGCTTTGCTCAGCAAAGCTGTTACTGCTTTTAAACAGTTTCTTCAGGAAAGGCCCTTAAGGACTGATTCTGATTTAGCATATTTAGTGAGTGTCTTGAAGTGTCATAAATTCTTTAAGTATCATTAAAGGAATGGATTAATTTCATTTATTAAGGTTTTCAGGTTTCAGGTTAATTTATTAAGGTTTTCAGTTTTATAGGCTTGATACCTCTTTACCAGCAGCATAATGTTATACCCATAACATTGCCTGAATGAACGTCACAGTTAAAAAGAGCTGTGTGAGTGAATAATGTACGAAGATGCTTTGGACCCGTGTGTGCTGAAGAGTTTTCCACTGAACAAGCTCAGTATAAGAAATGAGACTGAAAGGGTTCTGTGTAAACGAAACGCACAGTTGATGTCAGTGCTCTCTTTTTGCTGGCTAGTGGTGGTACTTAGTACTGTAATGTCGTGGGGTACAATTTGCATCTCAAAGGAGCTGCTTTTGGTTCAGCCTTTTGTTTGAGGTAATACATTTCCCTTCTTCTTTTCTTCTCTGTACATGTATCCAGTCCTGGGATTTGTTTTTCCGAAATGCTAATGCTGGCCAAACATACGATCCCCACTTACCAGGTCAGTTGGAAAGAAAGGCATCATTTCTTCAGAGCCATGGCCTGGCCCAGACACCGGGTAAAGCTGAGAAGCTTGTTGAAGACCACCTTGCTGTGCAGTCTTTGATCAGAGCATACCAAGTAAGTGTACGGTGGAGTAGGTGTGGGAGGGCTTCTCCTTCGCAAACAAACTTTCTTCCTTTTTATGTTCTTAATTGTCTTCTGGTCTTAACTTTAGCCTATTGCCTTGATTCTGATCCAAAATGTCTTGACCTAGATTGTCGTCTTTCTTTGTGTTTAATAGCTTGATTTCAATAAAAAGCTTAAAACCAGTGTGAAACAAAAAAAACCCCAAAAATGTTACTGCAGCTTGACTTAAGCAAGGCTGTTCTGCACTGCACTCAGAATTTTAACTCTTGCTTGCTATTGTCAGTGAAATAGAAGAGGAACTCTTGCAGAAAACTTTTCTTCTGTACGCTGTACATTGTCACCTTTGATTCAGAGACAACCCATGTTAATCTGGCTGTTGGAGAGGTGCTGTAAAAGAGTAGAAAGGTTTGTGACTATAAAGAACATACAAAATTTGCTTAGAAACAGCTATGTAGAAAACAGCCACTTCAGCCCATTCACTTTTGCTTGCACCAAAAATTTGAAGAATTAGAGCAAATTGGAGACTGTTAGGCTGCTTTGACACCATTTACTTGAAAACAGTTCAGGGATTGCCATTTTGCTTCCTGCATTTGAAAGAGTATGCCCTCTGCCTCGAGTGATGGAACGGACACGACTGTAGAGATGGCAGGCACCCATGTGTCTATGGGTGGATTACCTAAGGCAACTGTCTGTTTTTAAAAGGTATTTAATACCCTCTAAATTCAGTGTGGAAAGAATACGATCAATTTGTGACCTTCCTTTGCCTGGTAATGAAATGAACTGGAGAAGGATGCAGAATTTTCATTTCTCAAACCTGTCAGCATTTTATGGGTTCTGTGGTCTGTTGAGCTGGTCTTCTGCAAAGGCAGTTGATCTATTGCTTTGTCTAATGCAAAGCACTGAAAGAAGGATTTCCAGTGAAGTGTATGTGCTTAACAAAAATGAGTCTAGATAAATTAATTTATTGAGTCTTCTTTTGTATTTTTTTTTTGCATATATGTCTAGAAAATACGATTTTAAAGTCTAGTTTCAGGTAGAAATTGCATTTAGTCAAATTTATGGCAATTGATGAAAATTTTTCATGCATATATTTTCACAGGGTTGATCTCTGGTTTTTGCAGTTGTTACTATAACCTGGTATTGAGGAAAACAGTGTCTTTTAGTTCGAAACAAAACTGCTCCTAGAGTGTAATATGTCACAGTGCTTTACTGATTTGTTCTTCTGGGTTTTGGTGTTCTTGCCAATCCTCTTCCTACTAATACTGCGGAGCAGATGTAGCTCAGAGAGGTGAATTCTTTCCTGTTGATGATGCTCGAGACAGAATTGCTTGGTTAGTTCCACTCAGATAGGCTTTGTGCCTCTGTAAACAATGAGGTGGCACAGATGTTGCTGTGGGCATTATTTGGCCTGTCAAGAGTTTTATTACTGGTGATTCATGAGATGCAAAGAATCTCAGAGGCCAGACTGCATTAATGGGGAGGTGGTTCTAAAAAAGATACCATATTTCTGTTTGCTTATGGGGGGAAAGCATTTTGTTGTGAACTCTCCTGCAAATATAGAACATTTGAATAGTGTTTTTACAAGCCCCTTCTTGATGAACCACACTTTAATTGCAGAATCACAGAATGTTAGGAGTTTGAAGGGACCTCAAAAGATCTCCTAGTCCAACCCCCCTGCCAGAGCACCTTGTGTTACAGTGTGATGCAATTCATTATTAATACTGAAACTTCTTAATTTTTTTTCAGAGACAATTACGGTGTTAGTAGTGTGAATGAAATTCTACCCAAGTGATCTGAATTAGTCCTGAAGAAGAAAAATTTAAGGAGAAAATATTCCTATATTCATCTATAAGAAGTTTTTAATGAGCTAATTTGGTGTATTAGGATCACACACGACAAACATTATGTAAAAAAATCGGGTTTTATTTGTGGCTCAATTGAATCAATTGGGATTTCTTCTGTAGCAGGTGTGTGTTAATACACTGCACTGGTCTATAGGAGTTTGTGGCATGCATTAACACCGGTCATATTGATAAATGAAAGCTGGCTAAACTCCCTACCGAATTTGTGTTCTTTGGTGTCTTGAATGTCAGTTTTATCATACATGAAATTCACAAAATTTCATGAATGAAAATAAATGCTATCTGATGTGGAGCAGAACTCATGAATAGTGATCCCTTCACTGCTAATACAAACTTCGTCAGTATCGATCTATGTTTTGGGTCAGCAATGTTGTATTTTAGTATTCTGCAGGTGCAGAAAGGAGGGTTCAGGCAAAAATACAGAATGGCTGAAATAGCAAATGATAGACTCTATACCCTAGTCATAGTTTCTTGATTTTACCCAGAGATTTAGAGTACAATCTTCAGTGGTTTTTTTAACCTAGACTTCAGTGTAATTCCAGTTTAAATTGTGTGTCAGACAAAATAAAGGTTATGTTCTAATGTGCATTCAGGCATTTTTAATAGAGGTGTTATACATATCCAGAGATATAATGCTCATTTCCTGTTCTTATGGGAAAACTTGTGAAATATTTCCCTTTTTGGCATTGTTGGTGGTGGCTTATTTGACTTCATGGCTGACAGACGTACTATGGAGAGGTATCAGTGACTTTTCCCCTTTGTCTGACTTCTGTTAGTGTGATTTACCTTTTCTCGCACTCTTCTCCTTTTTCAGATCCGTGGTCATCATGTGGCTCAGCTGGATCCCCTTGGAATTCTGGATGCAGACTTGGATTCGTTTGTTCCATCTGACTTAATCACTACAATTGATAAACTCGGTGCGTACACTGTATGCCTCGTATTTGCAATGGTCGTTTGTCTCTTTTGTCTCATTGGACTGAGATGATTTAATACTCCACTTTAGGGAAGCTTCTACCTTTTCTGCTTCCTTGTATCGTGAAATAGTTTCTTTGAGCAACTGTAAGGAGGCTCAGATTTCAGGACAATGGAATTTCTACTCTGAGGTTCTACTCACCTACAGGTGAGGTTCCTGTGTATTCACCCTCTGATGAATTATGGTTATAAACAGTTTGTAAAACCCCCAAATCTTATGGCTTTGGCCCACACAGAAATTAACACTGATCAATACATGAGGCCAAGATTCTAGTGATCTAAATTAGTTTTATACCGTTATGCTTGACACTTGTTTTGGCTGGGCTATTCTGAATTCTTGACTTCTGTGTATAATCCAGCGGTGATCATTTTGGTTTACTGCTGGAGGAGTGTAATACACTAGGGTCTGCTTTTGCAAAGGTTGCTCTGGTTGCTAAGAGGGCACATCTCCGAGAAATTGTGCTGATCAATTTCTTTGCTCCTCCCTGCTTAAATAAAAAACCATGGGATTGATTTTTCTCGACTCTTCGCTCTACCTGCTTTGTTTAAAAGGTGGTTATCTACTTAATCAAGACACAGAATCAATTTTTCTTTGATATTTAGGGAAGCTTTTTGGACCAGACATAAAACATACTGCAAGTAGTAGATAAAACACATTCTGCTTAATTTTACTGTAAGTACAGTAATCTGCCTCTTTGCTGCTTTTCTAT